GATTTAAATTGCACCAGGGGAGGTTCAGGTTAGATATTAGGAAGAATTTCTTGACTGAAAGGGTTGTCAGGCACTGAAACAGGCTGCCCAGTGAGGTGGTTGAATCACCATCCCTGGAGGTGTTTAAGAGACAAGTTGATGTTGCATTGGGGAACACAGATTAGTGGGTTGATAGGGCTGGGACAAAGGCTGGACTCAATCTCCAAGGTCTCTTTCAGCTGAAACAATTCTACTATTCTAAGCTCTCAAAAAGACAACGTTAGTGCAGCACCAAGCTCTCCTTTGGATGCCTTTTTCATCATAGTTGACCTTGGAGCTGGGAGCTCTCTTGTTCTCTGAAGCCTAGCCTTCAAATTCAAGGAAAACGGTCGAAATTCATGACCGTGGTGTCATGAAAAGGGGCAAAATTGGCAAGTTCTCCAAGTCAGCAATTCTCTGATTCACTGGAACTCTGCATCCACCCACAAAGACCTTGCCACAGAACCTTGAACTGTAGGGCTCCGGGCTTTCTTGCCTGAGATATGCTTGACAGAAACCAAGCAACGTGAGCTGCCCAATTTTGGAGCTGAGCCCCTGGTAAGAGCAAACGTTTGAGTTTTGCTCCAAGAGCTAAGGTGGCAGCAAGACAAACTGGTGCTGCTCTGCATCCACCCGTGACAGCCTCGCCACAGAACTGCACACCTTAATTGTCCAGTATGCATCCCCTTATACTACAACTGCCAAGCAAAGCAAGGAAACAATACGCCAAACCACATTACACTATCAAAGCATGCAGCTATTACACTAGACTAGTAATACAACAACTGAACACCACCACAACTCAACAACAATCACCGTCCAGCATCAAAGCATCAGAGCAAACAAACAATACACCAGAGCTGTACTACCACTACTAAATTGAACAACAACAATGCATCAGAGGAAATGCCTCCGCTGTCAAGTGAAAAAAAATGAAAAAAACCCAAGCACTTACCAGGGGTAATGTCATGCGTCTCATTTCAAACTCCATCCTGGCATCAGAAGCCGTGACAACACATCCCAGCCACCTGGAAAAATATCACCCAGAACTGTTCAGTACTTCCTGCGTTGTTCAGAGCAGGCCCTCCCTAACCTGAGGTTCAAGAGCCATGAGTAGATCAGGACAGAAAACAACATCTAAGACACACAAGACAGACACAGCAGACAACAGACCCACTTGACAACACGCTGGAACTGCTCTGCCCTGGCTTCACCATTATAGAAGAAACTCAACCCTCCCACCAAGTCATGAGGTGTCAACTAGATCCCCTTGCTTGCTAAGCAGCTCACAGAGAAGAGTCTAGGTACCACTAAATCCAGTCTTAGACCCCAACTGTAAAGCTGAGCTTGCACCCCATGATCTGGGGGTGCTGTAGCAACATCCATGCACACAGAGCTCAGAAACAACCCTCATCCAACATCCGCTTACTCCACCACTACCACTGTCAACCCTTACCCCTCCAGCCCCAAGGGCCTTCCCCACAACTTACTTTGATAAGAAAAGAATACAAATTCATCCTAGACAAAAGCGTCACTCAAGCTTACCGGGGCCTGTCCACAGTCATCATCTTCCTCCTCTTCCTCTGCAATGACAAAAAAAATATAAGAAAATCACAAACAGACCCAGCTCTGAAATACACCACTGGCCCACACCAACTTCTGCCACCTCACTCCCATGCTCAGAAGGGCACCGTCCTCCCACTTGACAAAAGGCAGACGTCATCACCTAGATGACTGAGGATAGACACCTGTGATCATGATGCTGTTTCTGAGAAGTTGCCAGCCCTGGGCTCTGCCTCTCTGTGATCTCAGCTGACCTTAATTGGTCGTTGCCATCCACAGGCAGCCTCACACATCACCTGCAAAAGCAAAGGGAGTCACTTCACCTACTCACCTGTGAATATTTGGTTCTCACATATCAGACTACTCAACAACTTTCTCACTTTCTTGATCAACTTCACCTGAACCATTCCTGAAGCTCTACCTTCACAGGTACCCTTCAGCTTCTCAGGATGGCCACATGGCCCTCTGCAAAACTGCCATGTGCTGAAGGTACAGCCTAATGGAAGCATGAAATCTACAGAAGGGGCTAGCGAATCGAAATAAAAGCTTAATGACTGGAAGGGGGTTGGACTCCAAATAAAGCTTAAAGCAAGAAGAACAGTAAAATGTGGTAGGAAAAGAATAAGGCTAATAAAGAGACACAAATAAAGAAGAGATACCACAAAAAAGGAAGTATATGAGATGACTGAGAAGAGGTGCCAGGTGGCAAAAAAATAAAAATCATAAAGCTAAAGGCAGAAAAAAAGAGCTAGAAACCAGAAAGGGGAGATGTTAGATAGTCTTGCAGTCATCACATTCCTCTATCGTTATCTGCAAAAATAGCACAAAAAAAGAATATAATGGTAAACACTATGCCAAATGGTGCAGTCCCATTCATGACCCCATTTGCCCAAACCAACTGTACTGAAACCATTCCTTGGCTCTTCCTTCAAAAACAGGTCTCTACTTAGCTCAATAAATAAAACTCCCTCCCTAAAACTACTAACTATGAAAAGCACAGCAGATGCCTTAACAGTAAGGAGCCCCACACAGAATAAACTGCCTGAGCAGAGGCTGAGCCTCTTATACCAGAGGCCATGCCCCTCCATCCTTCCCACAATGCTCCACAAAAGGAGTGAAGCAAACCTCCGGGAGACATAAAAGGGGACAGAGGAGAAAATGCCTCCCTTTTTAGTCCTTGTCTTCACTCTGAGGGTGGGGATTAGGCTGGATGAAAAGAGATACTATTAAAACCATAATAGCCCCTACAAATCAGGGGGCTGGTTAGCTCAGTGGTTTGAGCGCGGTGCTGACAACAATGACTGACACCGAGGTCGCGCCTTCGATTCCTGCTTGGTCCCCATGTGTTGCCTGGTCTAGTCGAGAGGTGGAATCCCTGCCCATGACAGGGAAGTTGGACTAGATGATCTCTAAGGTCCCTTCCAGCCTAGGCCATTCTATGATCTATGAAATGGATCAATTACAACAACTATGTGACCAGGTAGGAAATTAAAGTCTATTTTTTCTAGTATATAGGTAGAAGACAAAAATTCATTTTAGTGACTTACATATGTCAGTACTTCATCGAATCCAGTATCCACAATGTTTCTAGTGAGGATGACATACTTTAATTTGACACATGTAAGCTCTGTAGTGGGAGTAAATGCAAAAACAGGTAATAAGGGTGGCAAGATACTCGCACGGACAAACTCCGTGGATAAAGGGTCAACAGGGATTCATGCGGCTGTATCAGAATCAATTGTAACTTACTGAAACAACAAATACTCAAATTTGTTTTGACTGCTGGTGATATTGACTGTTTGCAAAGCACGTGCAAAAGCTACGGATGTATTAGATTACAAGCAGCTCTGTAAAGATTTCTTAAGCATCCCGGGGCAGTGGTTGATGAGACCCAGTATTCAGAGCTCACCTGAAGGCGTCCCGATGAGGGGGAAGAGAGGCTTGGCCTGTTGAGCAATCCTGAGAGTCAGAGGTGGTCCATGGTGGCCTCTCCCCTGACGACGGTAGTATCTTCCCTAACATCCCCGTTCTCTTGGGTCATTTTTATATTATTTGTTACCTTTTAGGTGGAGTTTGAGTGGCTCTAGTCATGCGTATCTTTATTGTGATTAGTGTAAACTTGCCTCGCTTCGCTTTTAAAAGTATAGACTAGAAAAATTCAGTGTATGATCTCAGTGAGGGGTGGTCGCACCTCGGAGTCAGGTAGCTTTTGGGATGGAGGTGTGTTCTAGTATTATAATGAGATTATAATGAACATAGCTCACCTAAAGGACGGCATCCATCAAAAGATGGCAGACTCCTGGCCCAGGGTAGTAAATGTACAGTCAACTGGCTCCTTGACGTTTCCAGGTTCCTTTGTGTTCACAGAGCTTGACCACAGTATCTCTGCTTTGTTCCATGCTCTGTGGGATTTTTTTTTAGAGACAGAACTTCAAGCTTCCTTAATGCTACTGACCCTTAAGGTTATCTTAGAAAGCTTTGTGGGGAGAACTCCTTACAGATCAGCTGCACACTGTCCTGGAAAATTTCTTGATGATCCCAGGTGTGAACAATGCTATGTAGACAATTAAGTAATTTGAAATAATTATCCCACATCAAATGCCATAAGAAAGGTTGGGTTTTTTGAGGGCCAAGCGCTTTGGCACTGTTTTAGCCGAGATGGTTGCCTTGTGGTTAGAAATAAAGTTTAGGCAAAGGTGCCTTAATTCCACAGGCGGTGGCCTAGGAAGGTTGGAAGCTCTTGGGGAGGGATGTTCCCAGGAGTGGGGGGACTTATGGGTGGCATACAGGAGTGGGGGGACTTATGGGTGGCATACAGGAGTCGCCGAGGCAGGGGACGCTGTGGAGAGAAGGATAAAGTAACCCAGATTCTGATGAAGAATGGAGGTTGATAAGTAGACCGGGGAGAACCTGGAGAGGGATGAAATTTCATGGTGTGGAGAGGGGGGAGGTGCTGCATTCCCCTCATGGGATAGCAGAGGAAATGATAAGCTGCTAAAAGTTGACCTTGTTTTCAGTAATTGATTGGAGGTTGGAGCAAGGACAGATGGGATTGACAGGTTGGGTTCTTTAGTTGGTTAACTCTTGATAGCAAAACTAGGCTATGAGCAGAGGCTAAAGACGAAACTGAGACCGGACATGCTGGGAAAGCTCAGCCAGACATGGTAACTGATGGTTTGTCCTGAGCGATAAAACTCAGCTGCCCAAAATACAAATCTATGCTGATAAGGACAGGGACACCGTACAGCTAATATCTATATTTATAGGACATTTGGCCCCAGACATCTGTAAAAACTTCAAAGATGGGAGAGGTAGAACCCTCTAAGCAACTTGAAACTGCTGGATCATTTACCCTTAATAAGAACACTTGCGATGGGCATTCATGCTCATTTACATGATAGGGAGGCTATTGAAATGTATAACCATCAAGAGAAAGAATTATTATAAATCAGTGTTTAGATCATATAGTGCATATGTATGAAGCACAGGAAGACAAACTTGAGCTTATAAAATACCTAGGGACATGTCAAGTGGAAAGATGAGCTGTTGTCTGTGGAAGTGACTGAAGTAATGGCTGCTTGTTAAAGCTAAGCCTGACCCTAAAAAGTTTAATCCTGGATCTCAGTAATGAGTACGACCGCCCCAGCGGACCCAGCTCCTGCCATTTGCCAGAGCAGTGGGTGGAATGCAAATGAAGTCATTAAGGATCTGAGCTCTCTCTCATAAGATATCCTTGAGTGAAGTCACAAAATTCAAGCTGCCTCACTTTGGAGCTGAGACCTCTGCAACACACAATGTTTGGTTTTGCTGCAAGAGCAAAGATGGAAGCAAGGCAAACTGGGGCTGCTCTGAATCCAGCCATGACAGCCTCACCACAGAACCTTGAATCGTAGGGCTCCGTGCTTGCTTGCCTGAGATACTCTCTAGGGAAGCCACACGACACGAGCTGCCTGGTTTTGGAGCTGAGCCTCACGCAAGAGGGAATGAATGACTTTTTCTTAGGGAACGAAGGTGGCAGCAAGACAAACTGGTGCTGCTCTGCATCCACCCGTGATGGCCTTGCCACAGAACCTTGAACCAGCGAGCTCTGGGCTCGCTTGCTGTATTGGGTTGGCCTGGCCGGATTTTGGTGGTGGCGGGGGGGAGCTGGAGGGTGGCTTCTGCAAGAAGCTGCTAGAGGCTTCCTGAGTCTGATAGAGCCAATGCCGACTGTCTCCAAAGAGGGACCCACCGCTGCACTAAGGCTGAGCCTATTAGTAAAGGGATAAAGAGGAACGCCTCTGTGATAACATATTTAAGAATGGGGAAAAAGAACTGCGCCACAACAGCTGGCACAGAGATGGAGGAGTGAGAAACATGTAGAAACACCAAGGTCAGTGAAGAAGGAGGGGGGAAGGATGAGCTCCAGGTGCTGGAGCAGAGGGTCCCCTGGGTCTTGGTGAAGACCATGGTGAAGCAGGTTGTCCCCCTGCAGGCCATGGGTGGGGTGTAGGTGTCCACTGTAGGACCACCGTGTAGACGTCCATCGTGTAAGGACTCCACACCCTGTGGGCGGATGCCTGAAGGGGGCTGTAGCCTATGGGAAGCCCATATTGGAGCAGGTCGCTGCCAGAACCTGTAGCCCGTGGAGGAGCGAATGCCCACGCTGGAGCCGGTTGGCTCTGGGAGGTCTTTTGTGACACTGCGGGGGACTCACGCTGGAGCAGTTTCCCCTGAAGGACTGCACCTCAGACTCATGAAGGGTGGGTTGTCCCTCGTGAGGTGTCTCACTTTGGGCAGTTT